TGAGAGCACTTGAGAGATTATGGATATTATGTAAGTGCATAGAAATGAGAGTTAAAGTTCTCTTGAAGAAGGAGGAAATCCTCAAAATGGCTCCTGGTTGTGGTAGATTTGGTATCATCTTTAGTTTTTGCCGAAGAATTGAGAAATGCCTTGAGTCAGTCTTAAACGCAGACTTCCCGTGACGATGAGACTTGTCTCCCCCAAAAGACATAAAAATTGCTTGAAAAATGAATTTTTCTTTTGAAAAAGAAACGTGATAGGATCGATTCTAACAGTCTCCTACTACACAAGATAAGGTAAGAGTAACTTGGCTACAACGGCTACAGGCAGCTAAAAACTTGAGCAGTTTTGTCCATTCTTCCAAAAAAATCCCGTCTCTCAGTTCTGATAACTGTCAAACCCTTGCATAATTCACTCTGTCATTTTATACTTATCGTGACTTTATGAACAAGTTCACCGTTGGCCTGTCCATACTTAGCATTTTGTGCTGCCTTGAGAATGGCTTTTGTCGTTGCTCCATGAAAGCAAATTCTGGCGAAACTTCCTCATTTACAGACATGCCTTATAATCATTTTTGCAGATTCACAGTGAATTATTTAATCTAGTTGATTTTATTTTTCTAATTCAGGCACCATCTATGAGGTGGACAGCCTAACATCCTATTTGGAGCCCTATTCGAAATTGTGGAAGACCGACGTCCAGACGACAGTGAGCGAATTTATGGCTTCCAAGCCGCAAATGTACGATTTTCAGATGGTGTTTGAAGATTTGGATAAATACGGTCATAAACTGGAAGAAGAGCCGAGCTATTATGTGGTAGGAGCTCTTTTTATCTCGACGGAGGATTTTAAGACCTACATTAGAAGCAATATAAACCAATTGAAGCAGGTAACTAGCCAAACTCTGGTATGATGAAATTTTTTTCAGCCATTATACAATGATTTCATTCGACTATAAAATGTTGCCTGGAATTTCTGGAATGTCTAAAACACTTGCACTTTTAATATATCATTTCAGACTGACACAACAAAATGGCCAAAAATTCTATAAAGCGCTGGTCATGTCCAATCCATAGAATGTGATATGGAAAAGAGCTTGGCCCAAGGGCACTCATGGCATTGCTGAATGTTTGATAACGAGTCGAGATCATGCGCTGCAGTGTCATGCTTCGAGTCCCGCTGGTTGGTAAGATATAGGCGAAGTCTAAACTGCAGTCTACCCAAAATGAGATCACCTTTTGGGAAAGCAGGTCTATGCAATTTGCTTTGGGAACGTCAGTCCCCTTATCACACCAAACGAAATAGGTCGAATACATCTCATTTATATGATCTAATGATGGTCACGAAATCCTACTCGAAACCAAAAATAAGTGATCTACTCATGTTTGATTACTA